ATATACCCAAAACCCTGAAAAAAAGCCAATATAATTAAGCGGTTTGTCAGTCTCGATTGTGATTATAAAAACGAACGAGCGACCGAAAGGAAAAATCGTAAATAAATTGGATCCACGCAAACCGAAGCTGGTGCTTCTACTGTCAGGTCACTAAGCTTTGGCCTCCAAGACTTTTGCTCTCACTACCTGAATGAGGATAAATATTGGTTTAACACAAAATACGACAATGAGAAGACTTAATAAAACACGGGCAAATTACACAGATCAATGTCGTTGAAATGCTTTTTATTTGTTTAGCTCGACTTCTTAAACTTAGCCCAGCCTGCAAATGGACTTTCAGGGGCTGTGCATATGCTTCCAACCACTGCTATAGCAATTATAATAAGTTCAATAGAAAAAATTGTAAAATAACTTATGATTCATGGATTCAAAGCACTTTACTAAATAAGACTCGAGCCCGAGTCGACACAATGAGATCTTCTGCAAGAATATGGGATCTATAAAAAACACTAGGTAGACCCTCCACGCAAGTATAAACCAACTCAAGTATAGTAAAGTAAAATTAATGCTCATATTTACGATCTAAGCTAGAAAAGATGAGGTCAAAAGCCAGAAAAACGAATCACCAGTAATGGCGGCAGGATAACATACAAAGGTTAAGACCGGATTTCAGACAATAGGGCTTCAATGTGCTTATTTCGGCATAACCTATGAGAGTAGAGTACGAAACTAGACAAGACAAGGAGCCACAGTAATCTTAAGTTGGGGCACAAACGCGAGGTGGATAAACGTAGCTAGGACGAAGCACGAGTAAAGCCTGGGGCCAAATAGTAACCACCATTATATGGCGAGAGAAGTGAGAACTCCGGAAAAGGCTCGATCAAGCAGATGTGAGGCCTGCGACAACTTTTAAAGTTAATGCTTCCATTTGCTTCCTGACAATGCATTTCACAATTTTTTTCAATCTCTCTCGCTAATAGATATAATAAGTCGCTCAAATCCATCAAATTTCCAATGTAGACTTATTGATGAAACAGAGTCAAAGTTATCAGAGGATTAGAATCGCCAAGCCCTGACTAGTTATGATAAATAAACAGACATATGAGCATCGTAAGTGACGACACGAGATCGATTTTTACCGAGGCTACAACACCGTATCAATGACTCATCAATGGCTCTGATACGGTATATTTCGAAGGCCTCATTTTATCCTGAATCTCAAAAGGGAGGAGGCCAAGGTTCACAAGGCCCAAGAAAAGTAATCGTGAATATAAGCATTTTTGTTACACACACGGTCACCATGACATTAATTCCAGTATATACCAACTCTATGGGGCCCAAAGGAAAGAAGTAAAGCGACTTCGCCGAAGACGAACCACTATGAATAGGAATGAGACTAAGAATGTGAAACACGGGGGGGGGCATAGAGGGAATGTTTAATTTCAATTCAAATGAGAACACAAACCTTCAATAAACACAATATCACAGTAATAGGGTTGCATCTGAACAGTATGCAGCGGCTAGAAAGCTTTCACTTTCGAACTCTCAAGCAAATTTATGGTAAACTCAACCTAGCGCGTAACTATTTGGGAAGTATATAAGATCTAGAGGAAACCCATCAGAATAAACAACGTAAGTAGATAATAATTAAGCTAATCAATTAAAAAAATATCCCAGTAGATTGGGTAATGATCTCGAAAACAAACAAGCGACTGCTTGATGAATAATAGGAAAGCGAAGCTTAACCTAAACTTTCCAGGGCAACATTAAGTAATCCAACAGATTGTGGTTTATTGACGGTTCCAGGTACAAATAAATAAAGCCAAAATATGGTATGAACAAAGAGATAAGGAAGACTTATCTCGAGAGGAAAGAATTGAGCCGCACGAAACAATTGATCTACCGATTAAAGTTCAGTAGATACCTTCCAGCGGCTTCAAGAGAAAATCATTTGAATTAAGGTAGGCAGAGAAAACACTCTTGTGCAGAATAGGGGGCAATTCGAGAGCTTGTGACTAGATTGATAGACTTGATTATTGTAGGTTGCGCAAACATTCGAAGGTAGTCTAAAAGGATCAGAGATAATGTTACAAGATAGATAAGCAAGCAGAAATGCTGATTATTCTTTATTTCAGTAATGCACTGTTTTCAAGATATACTTGATGACTACATGACTGATCATTTTACCACTTGTAAGGAGTACTAACCATAAGACATTTTTTTGAAAAAATGAACTGCGACCGGTCATCCAAAGTACATATATCAGTAAAAAAAATTTCAATAGTACGTTGAAAGCCGAAAAAAAGTTGATAATTAAAGTTGGATTACCTTTGAAATTTTTAATTAAGTTAGGTCCGGAACACGAAGATATGGTGAGTGACTAATAAGTAATTTGAAAGTAACGAAAGCCGCACACGCAGCCTGTAAACGGGACAGCAATCATCAAGATAAATTAAAGGGGTGGAGACCACGAAGTAAGTGTATAATGCAGCTAAGAGATAATGTACATAATATTAGAATAGTGATTGCAAGCCTTAAAATTGAATCGTCAACGTAGGGGTACAACGATTAAGACATTCGATGGACAAGTATATATATATATATATATATCCCGCTCAAAGATTTATGGAAAATTTAAAACAAACAGACTTTTTAGCCAAAATAAAATGGTATAAACCAGTGATCACAAGGAAAAAGAGCGCAGCAGGTTTACGGTAGTAATTAGTTATTAAATTGTCTCCCTGGAAGAGACAGGCTTTGAAACTACAATAAAGTCACGACAATGTGAATAAAATAGCCCAAGAACATGATAAGCAGAGCGGGAGTTGCGGATGGAATGATAATTAAGTTACGGCATCCAAGTATAACAATGGGCCGGAGACTGCAAAAAGAACCATTGGTGAAATTGGTCAATTATAAATGAATCGATAAATAAAACAAATGATAAAGACGTAGTCTACGATAACAATTCTGAAGGGGAAGTGGGGCAGGTATTACATAGGGATATTATGACCACTTTCACAAAACAGAAATGCGACTGACTTAGCCTGTTGAGAGAATAAGTGCAACAATGAGTCCGTACAACCCAAGGACCTCTGCAAAGATGAGAATTAGTATCATTCCAACAAATAGCCTCGGCTGTTGAGCTGTTCCTCGAACACCAGCATCTCCGACGATCCCAATAGCAAATCCTGCAGCCAAACCACTTAAGCCCACACTCAAACCTGCGCCGAGTTGCTTGAGAGACCTAGGAGAATTACCCACAAAGCGGAATTTACTTTTCCATTATTTTAGATTGCCCACTCTGGGCAATAAGCACAGCAACGACCAGGCCATAGATAGCAACTATACCGGCCATGACTACAGGGACGATCGACTTCATTATCAATTCCGGCCGCATCACACCCATAGAACAGATGCCAGAGCCAGATTTTGCAGTGCCATATGCTGCCCCCAAGGCTAGAAATAAATTACTATAAAATTATAATGCGTACCACAAAACACCATAGATGAAGTAGCTCCCATTACACTAAAGAAAGGGGTATAAATAGGGTCAGAAGACATTTTGGAGAAAACGGGAGGAGGGAGAACAAACGAAAGTAATACGCGGCGAGACCAGAGGGACAAACAAATGCAAGGGATGTCTGTTTAATAAAGCAATTTATATAAGGAAAAAGATTAAATTTTGCTTTTATTTTTTAGTTTAAAAAGTTTGACAATAAATAAATAAGCAAGATTTATCG